CCTTCCCTTCCCTTCCCTTCCCTTTACTTCTTTTTTCTCTCATCCTTCTGGTAGCTCTGCTGTAAATTTCTCATTTAGAGTCATCTTGGGTTATTTTCCTCCTAACAGCAAAACCTGACTGTGTCATTCCATTTACAGACATTATTGTCTTCTCTGCGTCTGGAAGAGTATTTTCAGTTTTCATGTCATGATGTCCACAGAGTTGTATATAAAATGATGTATCTATGGTTTTCTGCATTTAGCTTTCCTCACTGCTGTAAGGATTAAATGAGTAAATACAAGTAAGTAATTTACCTGAGTGTTTGGTACACAGTAATTGTTAAGGTGTACCCTGCATTCTCCTTCTTGGGTGGAGGGTTAATGATGGAAAAATGGTTCGTTTTCATATATTATGTTTAAAAATTAATTTGGTTTCTTATACTGCCAGACCCCTTTCTCTACATTTTCTCTTTTTTCTTGATTTCTGATATTGATAGTATTTGTGGTTTCTTTTTACTTTAGTTACTTATTTATTGCTACTCATATATATTACTGGGTTTTATTTTTATCTATCTATCCATCCATCCATCTATCTATCTATCTATTATTTATTTATTTGTTTGTTTAGTTTTGTGCTTTCTCTGATTCTCAAACAAATACATAAACTGAAGCTGAATTTCTTTGGCTTTGATTGCTGCCTTCCTGGTCTCTATGTTTCATTCTCTTCCCCCATGACTCCTAGATTATGGCAAGTTTTGTTTTAATGACTTGGTATTACTCTCATCTTAAGAAATGATTCTAATTGTCTTCTGTACCAAGTGAGCAGCTTTCCTGTGTTGGCCCCTCACCCCTGAAAATGTATGTCTGCTTCAAGTTCTTCTCTGCCTGCTCCCGGGAGCACCTCTCAGCTGCTGACTAGGGAGCACCTCTCAGCTGCTGACTAGTCTGCTGTCTGCAGTAGAATTGAACTGACCACAGACATTGACAAATGGGGTCCTCAGCGGCTTGGCAGTCCCACATCCTCCAACCCCACTCATCCCTTGTTGCAGTTTCCAAACCAGCATCATTTCACAGAATATTGACACAGCCGCCAAGTTCATTGGGGCTGGGGCTGCTACAGTTGGGGTGGCTGGCTCTGGGGCTGGGATTGGGACTGTCTTTGGAAGCCTCATCACTGGTTATGACAGGAACCCTTCTCTGAAGCAACAGATCTTCAGTGCGAATCTGGGTTTTGCCCCCTCAGAGGCCATGCAACTCTTTTGCCTAATGGCGGCCTTTCTCATCCTCTTCCACTTTCTGAAGTGGCTGTCTCCACTTCTACCTCCCATAGTTCTTTCATGGCCTTGCTGCCCTCTATGTTCCTTTTCCTGTACGTCCTCAGGAAGTCTGGGCAATGTGCTTAGCTCAGGGTTTGATAGAACACAAATAAATACTGTATTAATAAGAAAAACTTATCCTGTTAATCTTCTTACATTTCAACCTCATTTGTTTATTTTTTCCCAGAAACTACACATTTCTGCGTAGTTCTCTTTTGTCCCAGTTACTAGTGTTTGATGGTTTTATGTGTTTTCTTAAAAACAACTCCTGCTCCCATACTGTACCAAGATTCTCTTTTTAATATCACCAGTGATCTCCAGATGTTGATAGTCTCCAGTCATGGTCATATTTGCCCTATCAGTTGTTCACTTCCTTCCCCATGATGGATTTTGTTTTTAACTTGGTCTGTGGCCATAGTCACATGTTTTTCTTCTCCTTGGTTTTTCCTTTTAGGCTTGCTTTGCTGGATCCTTCTGTTCTTTGCAAACATTTGTTGTTGAAGTGCTCTATTGCTCATTCATTATTTTGGGCTCCTTTCTTTTCTTTGTCTCCTTTAGATGATATCAAGACTTTCAACTTAAATTATTCATATATCAATGATTTACATATTCATATTCTTATCCCTTCTCTCTCCAACGCTATACATCCTTCTAGTTGTCTACCTGAACGCTGACATTTGTAAATTTAAAAATTTATTTAAAAATACTGTGTGTGTGTGTGTGTGGTGTGCACATATGCCTGCTCCTCTATATGTGCATCATATATATTCAGGTTCCCCTGGAGGCCAGAAGAGGTTGTTAGTTTCCTTGGATCTGGAGTGAGGCAGTTGTGAGCTGCCCTGTGTGAGTGCTGCCAGCCAAACCAAGGTCCCCTGCGATAGCATGTACTGTCAACCACTAGTCTTTTCTGAAGCCCCTCTTTTTGTATTTTTAAAGAATAGTGCAAACATTTCCTGTTAGAGTTAGGATTTCTATTGCTGTGAAGAGATACCATGATGATGTCTCCTCTTAAAAAGGAAAGCATTTAACTGGGGCTACCTTTAAGGTTCAGGGTTTAGTCCATTATCATCATGGTGGGAAGCATGGTGGAGAAGGAGTGGAGAGTTCTGTATCTGGATTGGCAGGCAGCAGGAATAGAGAGAGACACTGGGCCTGGCTTGAGCATTGGAACCCAAAACCCAACCCAGTGACATACTTCCTCCAACAAGGCTGCACCTCTTAATATTACCACTTCCTGGTGATGAAACATTCAAATCTATGAG